GAAATAAGAAAGAAGGTGAAGTCATAAAAGGAATTCCTCTTGTTCAATGTAAATATAGAAGCAATAAACTTGAATATTATGCAGATTGTCGTGAAGCTCGGGAACATGTTCTTGATGGTGATCATCGTGTTCTTGATGTTCTTGATGTTCAAGAAAAAGGAGTTCAAGTTGATTCTTATGATGAAAAAGTTTTTTGCTCGATTGGAATTCAAACCGATGATATTTTGTGTTCTTGTGATTCGTTTGAAGGAATGATTCCTTATCGGAAGTCGGTGATCCAAGAAATTCACAGGTATCAAACTCTAAAAGATTTGATTCAAACTCGCAAAGTTGAAGTTGTGGAAAGTGGGTTTGTTCATGAAATCAAGTCTTCAAGATGCAAAAAGATGAAAAAAAAGGATCAAACGCAAAAACAAGCGGGTTTATTCAAATGTTGGTGTGAAGCCGAAATTCGTGAAACAAATTTGGGTTCCAAAGCAACAATCTCCAAATGTTGCATTGAATTTGAAGTCAAAACTCAAATGTGTTGGTGGTTCTTTTGAAGATGTTATTGGATCGTTGAAGAACACGAAGAACGAGTTGTACATCACGCATAATAGGTGGTACAATGTTCAAATTGGAGATTTTCTCGTTCCAACAAAAGAACCAAGATCTTATAAATTCGATTCGTTTGTTGAAAATGGAACTCGATTCGTCAAAAAAGTATCACAAATTCTCAAATGGATTCCAAAACGTCCATGATTTCGATTCGTGTTTTTCGTTTTTCATTTTTGATCGATTTGCTTCATTGGATCATATCTGTTTCAACCACTTTGTTTGATCCAATTATTTTTTTTAGATCAAAAGTCCAAAAATAAAAATCAAATTCCAAATTTTTTTTTATCTTTCGAAATCACTGTTCATATCCATGATTGAGCCCAATATTCAGTTCGATCCATTTTTGAAATTGATTAATGTTCATGTAATTGAAGCCCAACCTAAAATCTTTTATTGTTCATTTGATACAATGGAAGCCCAAGTCGATGGTCAAAATAAGAACACTGGAAACGATGTTGGAGTCGAAAGATGAGTCAAGAAGCCGTTGATCACGAATCGATGTTTGATTTTAACTAGTGTTAAAATCAAATCTCAAAATTGATTTGTACTCCTCATATAACATCAAGAATCGACCAATTAATGATTCAATTCAATTTTTCTTTTCTTTTTCGTGATCGTATCTTTCTGATTCAATTCGAATCTAATATGTTGATAATTGAAATTGATTTGAGTTTCTTGCTTAGTGCTTGGTTCGATGGCTGAGTAAAACTGATTTCGATGGTACTAATTTGCGTCAAAACAAAAAGTCAAAGTTGTTGTTCGTGGTTCAATTTGTACGCACGCTTCAATAAGTTGTACCATTGGATCATCATCGTGGGGTTCTTGTGTTCTTTTGGTGTAGTTGATTGCAATGTCCTGATGAAGTTATTCGCATCTGGATTTCAAAATTGATATTGTTGGTGATTTTGGATTTTGATTTCGAAAAGCGAAGGTCTCAAGTTGACGATTTTGATGTCGATTTTCTTTAGAATCAATTTCGAATATAACTGTGAATTATTGAAGTCGGTGTCGATGGCTAATACTGAAACTGAATCGACCTATGTCTTTTGTTCTTGGACTTGATTTGGGAATGATAGAAGGTTCGAAGGATTGTGGGTGCCTAGTCGAAATTTGGAATTGAATTGAAATCGTATTTGGTTTGAGGTCGATGAACTGGAAAACGAAAGTTTGTGTTGGAGACGTTCGCATCTGGAAGGTTGGATGTTCAAAAGGTTAAACTAAAAAGCTAAGCAGGATGATTTTGGTTAAGAATTTATATGTTAACTGGAAACGATTTGGAATGGGGGTTAAATTGACTGTGTATTGGAATCGAAATTTATTTCGACAAGTATTGTTGATACGAGTTAAGACTTAATTGAATTTAGATGCTTAAGTGTCGATGTCTAAATTGGAGTTCGTTGTGGGGTTTATGGAGTCGACTTTCGCATCTATGAGATTTTGGTGAGTCGACAGTCGAAGTGGTTGTTGATGTCGATTTATGTTTTGGTGTTTTGGTGTCAATGAAAAAAGCGAAGCCATGGGTTGTTGGGATTTGTTTTTGGATTTGTTGATCGAAGACTTGGATTTGTCAATAGTCGAAGCGTGAATGACAATTGCTAGCGAAGACTTATTTATTGTCGCTTTGTTAGTCGAATTCTTGCAGCTAAAAGCGAAGGGTTAGTTGATTTTGTTTCGAAGGGTTGAAAAAGTTTGCGAAGGTTGTTTGTGTAGCCTTCGTTACCTGTATAACGAAGCGGGAAGAAGAAAACACAAATTTTCGAAATTGGTCCCTGAAGTTTCGAAGACATTGCAGAATTGTCCAGTTTCGAAATGGTGACAAAAACTGTGAAGAATACAGAAGTTTCGAAATAAGTCCCTGCAGTTTCGAAATGTTGGCAGAAAATATCCAATTTCGAAATTGGGGTAATAAAGCTGAGAAATTGAAGAAGTTTCATGTTCAATCCCTGCAGTTTGTGCGAATTTACACTTTATGCCCACTTTCGCAAATGGGGTATAGTTTTGCATATTAAGTTGTTTTTGGCGCAACGGGTTCCTGCAGAATTCAAAAAGTGACAATTTTGCCAGAATTTTGGAAAATCTTGCAACTCTCACACAAAAGTCAAAAAAATTTAAATTTTGGAAATTTTTTGAGGCTTTTTCGTGATTATTTTTCCGTGCAAGTTTTTCGGGTGTTTCATTTTTGGTACACATTAAGGGGGAGTATTGTGAAGATTAATCGTCGAGCGTTTCTCACCCTTAATGGGTTTTATAATCATTTTTTGATTATAAGAAGGGGGAGAATGAAGAGTGGGTATTCGAAGCGGGTTTTTCGGTATTCATTTGCGGATTTGAAGACCGGTGTTACTTCGAGAGGGAGTTTGGTCTTGATCCCGCGAGCTCGTTGGATATTGAAGTCGGGACATCCAATCCTAACTTTGAGGGGGAGAATGTTAGGGTGCAAAGTCACGTTTGGATGTGGATTGTTAGGCTTACCCTCTTGTATGTGTAAATGGGTTGAGTCTTTCCTATAAATAGGAAGTGAGTGACTCCCATTAAGTAAGATCTTGTTTTGGAGAGCATTAGTTTTAGAGAGAGAAACTAACAAACCCATTTGTACTCTTTCTGATTCAACTAATGAGAGCTTAAAAGATTTATTTACTCCTTGTGTTCTTGAGTTTGTATGATGATTCACTAGATCTTTTCTTATTCCACACATGTCATCATAATCAACACCACTACAATATATAGTGCAGACATGATGTCATGGATAACCCTAATTTGAATATAATATTATTAATTCAAATCTGGTAATTATCCACCTCCTTAATTATCCACATGGGATAATTTACAAACCCTAGATTACTTATATAAATTTCGTCCAAGCCTTCCTTAGGAAGGTTCCTGGAACCTCTTGCTTAACTATTGAACAATTGCATTTTAGCCCCTGCACTTTTAATTAATTCCTTTAATACCAAAATTAATTCCAACTAACTTCCGATTAAATATTAATTAAATATTACTCTATAAAAGTAATATATTATTCTCATAATATATTAACAAATCAATTATTCCAATTTATTAATCAAATAATAAATTCAACCTCTCTCTCTTCAAAAGTCATCCTGTCCGGTTGCTAGTTTTGAGGGCAACCCAAAAAGACAGTGCTACTATCAATTCAAGTATATACCAATTATAGTTATGGGCTTAGACACCTAATCCAACAGTCCTGTGGTTTTTTTACAAACGGAGGTTCGTGGTGAAACTTATTCCATTCCCATCATTTGATGTATTTATTGATCCTCGTTTGCTGTCAGGGAATTTCCGAAGCAATGTTGTTAGTTTGTTGTTCATATTGATCCTTTAGGCTAGATATTGTAATATCATTGTATAGGATCGGCACGTGGGAATCGACGGGATGGGATAAATTGTTTTAGAGATATGATATATTTGTATTAATGATAATAGTTGGTTTTATAGGTTTGAGATATAGATTATTATCACATTGTGGGATTTAAATCCCTATGTACTCACCAGGTTTCCCAACTCGACCCACTCAATTTATTATATTACAGGTAGCGGTATGAAAGATGCATTCTGCTGAGAGATTCAAGGAGTATTAGGTCACTAGTTTAATTATCGTAAGGCTTGTAATATTTCGTTATGCTTATGTTTCCGTATTGAAGAAGACATCCCAATGTTTTAATATAAATAAAATACATTTCTTTGGAAATTCTTTGATAATAACATTATCATGTTTTTTGGAACAAATTTTGCAATATTATTCTTCAAAAAGGATACTCTGATTTTTAAATAAGCATAAACAAATCGGTCTTTTCTGGCCATGGAATTGGGGATGTCACGTCATCCATCTATAGTTCTCGATATGGTCATCCGGATCCGTAGAACCGTCATATGATTTCATAGTTGGCAAATGGGTACCAGCAGGGAATTGATATTGCTCGATCTCTGCTACAAACGGGGAAGTTGAGGCTCTTTTGTATTGGTATTGGTAGTAATGTTGGTTGGTGTCATCCATGCCTAGGAAGGGAGGATGGAAGGGTTGATATAGGTGTCCCGATTGAGATTGAGTAAGTGGAGGCATAGCATAATACTAGTATTGAGGGTGATTCGGGTAGGCGAAACCGAAAAACTGGGCTTGAACGAGGAAGGCGGTTGTCACTGATTGGTCAATTTGACCCGAGGGCATGTTGTCGAACGGGAGGTTGCTGATATATGGCACCCCTCCAAAGTGATTGGCATGGGAAGGATAGGACATGTGTGGTGGTTAGCTCGTTGCCATATTAGGTCTCAACATAGGAAAGTTCATTCTTAGAGACGTGAAGTTTGCATTATACATAGGATATTGGTTCAGGATATGGATTGCACTTTCATTTATTGAAAAAGGCATAGTTACCAGAGCAGACATGCATGGTGTGAAGAACGTCATTGGAGTTGACGTGCCATATGGATGGAATGGAGTTTGTCTGTCCATACCTTGGATCGTGTTTGTTATGTTTGAGGATATCATGTGTTGTGCTCCAGGGGTCATCATACCTTGGGTTGTTCCAAGATTTTGTTTTTCTCTACTTCCGAGGATCACCATCGTGGGTGCGAGCGTTACTATTGGAATCGTGGACGTGGGCATTATGGGAGTTACTATTGTCATCGTCGTGGGTGTAGGCATTACAGGCATTACTATAGGCATCGTCGTGGTTGTGGGTGTTACAATCGGTATCGTGGAGGTCATGATGGGTGTGGTGGGTGTTACACTGGATGCTTCAGTTATCGACGAGAAGAATCCAATTTCCCCGGAAGTGTTGTTGGTTACAACCAATCGTTCTCCCAAGTTAGGAAACGATGGGATATGCCTGTGAGAGGAATTCCCTGATCCAAAAGCCATGTTCTCCTTTGTGGTTTTTGTTTAAGGTCCCACAGATGACGCCAATGATGAATACCTAGGTTCACGAGACAGTTGAGATAAAGAGACTTTCCATGAATCTTCGCTCTGTCCTTCGTTCAGCCTTGACTCTGTTGATACCTGAAACAATCTCAGGTGGGGACCCGAGATGACACTCCGATGGTAAAGTCAGTTTTCAACGAGAGAAATTGATTAAAGCTAAAAGTAGGGTATTATAGTTTTTTTTGCCTTTTTTTCGGACTGCAAACGTTGGCTATTTATAAGATATAGTTACTTGTCATCCGAATTAAGTGGAAAATTTGTTCATCAATTTGAATCATGCTCATCTTTTATCTCAAGATATTCTGATATGCTCACCCAACACGTTCTGATCAACAAGTAACAATATAATTATATATATATATATATATATATATATATATATATATATATATATATATATATATATATATTCATATTGTATGGGTGTGTATGAGTATGACACAGTTAAATATAGAAGTAATGCATTTTAGGTATGGTCCATGCTCGTTAGGCCATGTATTTATGTCCGTCACTTGTGTCCGTCACTTCTATCAGTCATTTTTGTCCGTCATTTCTGTCTGCCACTTATCTCCGTCATTTTTGTCCATCACTTATGTCTGTCACTTATGTCCGTCATTTATGCCCGTCATTTCTGTCCGCCACTTCTGTCCGTCATTTCTGTCTGTCACTTCTGTCTATAAAACTCCACCCTATGCCTGCCTTCAATGAGTGTGGCATTTTTCAAGGTTACTATTTTCGACGTCGGTTCCGAATACACAACCATTTCTTTCAGCGTATAGTACATGACGTAATAGAAGCGTGCACATTTTTCAACATTCAAATGCAAGAGGTATGGTCGAATTTCTTCATTTACAAAAATCGATAACTATAATTTGTATGTTAGCATATGCACCCCACTAGATGCTCTAGATGAGAGTATTAGGATGTCCGCACGCACCGTACGTGAAAGTCTTCACAAGTTTTGCAAGTATATGATGAGGTTGTACGATCCATGTTATTTGCGTTACCCTACTTCAAATGACATAAAACAGTTGTATGATCATCATGAAAACGTGCATAGCTTAGACTGCATGCACTTGAAATATGCAAATTGTCCAGTTGCACATCATGGACAATATACATGTGGTGATTATGGCTATCCGTCGGTTATACTTGAAGTTGTAGCCTCACATGATATGTGGATTTAGCATGCCTTCTTTGGTAGTGTCAGGTCTCTTAATGACATTAATGTTCTGAATAACTCACCAATATTCAACAAGATGTATGACGGTGTTGCACAAATTCTTGATTTGATTTACAAGGAAGGCATTATAGATTCGATTACTACCTTGTCAATGGGATCTATCATGTGCGTTCAGTGTTTGTTAAAACTTTGTCGTTTCCGGATGATACTAGTGTTGGATTAGATGTCTAAGCCCATAACTATTATTGGTATGTACTTGACCCGAGAGTAGCATGGTCCATTTGGGTTGCATATCATCAAGACAATTTGTTAGGATGGACTTTTGAGAGAAGGTTATTTATGGTTTATTAATATATTATAAGTTATAATATATTAATATGAAATCATATGTTTTAATTAGTATCGATCAAGAATTAATTTGGAATTAATTTAGTGATCAAAAGAGACTAATTAAATCTATGGGGACTAATTATGATAATTAGTTATATTTATATGTGTTGGGCTTATGATCCATGTTGGACCAAGTTTATGTATGGATACATAAAGAGTTGGGCCACATGAACCATGGATCATAAAACTCATGGGTATGGATTATGGGTTATACCCATGACCCTTGGAATCCTACATATAAATAGGTTACTCCATAGCCAAAATCACCACTTCTTTTCTTAGAGAAATATGGAGGTGTTTTGGTGCATGGAATTCTCTCTCAAGAGCCACCTTTGTCCTAGGTGTGTTGTGATTCCATTTGAGGCATTTCATACTATTGGTGCTAAGCTCTTAAGGCCAAATACATCAAGACTTCAAGCCACATAAAAGGTATGTTTCCCTAACTAGTATATTATATGGTTTATGTCAAATGCATGCTAGTTATAGGTTTAATGCCTTGGAAACCATTTGCATGTATAATAGAGAAAACATAGATCCAAGGTATTTAGGGTTGTATGTGCATCATAGGATGTTGTAGTATACTAAAATCCAACAGTGGTATCAGAGCCATGGGTTATTTTCTATTATATTTGATGCAAATGAATTTTTTTTTCAAGTTGAAGGAAAAAAAAAAGAAAAAAACATGAAGTTTGTCAAATTTTATGATAATTACTTGATTTTATGAAAAACTAATTATTTATAAAATTTGAGTCACTTTACTACAAGAGTTGAATTAGGTCAATTTATTAAAAGATAGAATGATATGATTATTTTATTTGTTTTAAAAGTTTGATCTAAATGGTTTTAAGGAGTTACAAATTTTGTCATAAAATTTTGGAACTCAAAAGTTTTTTTTATAGTTATGATCTTAAGAGTTTTGAAACTTCCATAAGTTATGGATGTGAAATGTCTCATTTATTAACTCTTTAGGTTATGAATTCCAAGAGTCTTCAAAGGATAATTGTCAAAGTTTCAAGATTTGTATTAGTTTATATGGTTATCTAATTTCTTGAAAATTGTTGATGTGAATTATCTTTACTTATGAGTTTAATCTAGATCATAGAAAAATTATTTGATTATTGTGTTAATTGGAATATTTGATCTTAATGGTTTTTTATGAACTCCATAACTTGTCCTCAAGTTATGGAAAGTGAAGAGTTTTTCTTTTTAAAGTGTCATTAAGTCTCATAGGTTATGAAAATAGAAGAGTCACTATTTTTAATGTCATCATTAAATGATTTAATGTCTTCCATAACTTGTCCTCAAGTTATGGAACTTGAATTTTTTTTTTCATTAAACCTTAATTAAACTCATAAGTTATGAAAAATCCAAGAGTTTTGAAAGGTTTCAAAACTTGTCCTCAAGTTTTGGAATTTGTAAAGTTACCCCCCATGTATACTTTAATTCCAAACTAGACCTTAGAATTTTAAAAGTTTAAAATTCAACCCTTATACTATTATTATAATTTTAATTATATAGATATGTATAAGATAAAGTCGTCTTACCATTAGTAGGCCTCATTCACGAAGCCGGTCTATAAGGGGGGTATAAGGTTACTACCTATAAAATGGCAGTTTAATGGGTGTCCACTCTCACTCACCGCTTCCTTGACCGGTGGAGGGTCGTTAGCCGAACAGGTAGGACAAGGACTATAATTCTCCCTTCATTATAAGTATAATGATAAATACTAAGTAACTAAACACTTATAAATTCCCAATCTTAGTTACTTAGGAAAATGTGAATAAGGTGCTAATCCATGAAATTGCGCTTTGCACTTTGTTTAAGCTGTTAGTGGAGCGTGTATGGTTAACCGGCACACTAACCTGGACTTAACAAGGTAGGAAAAAGGTAACTTAATGTTTATCATAGTATCGTTGGAGCGTGTGTGGTTAACCGGCACATCGATTGAGGGGTAAATATTAAGGGTACCAAGTATATTTGCATGGTTACTTCACACCTTGTTTTGTGATCCTCGGCATCCCAGTCACAAAACCTGAAGGGCACACTCGAGATTGAAACATGCCATTGAAAAGTTCAATGAATCTCGAAAGAATCTAGGAGTTTCAAAACCAATTAAAACCTAATAATATATTTCGTTTATCTTGGTGGAAATTGGTGAATCGTCATTCACCTACCTTCAAATATTTTATAGATTGGATTACGGCATCCCTCTTCCAAGTTATAAAATAGTTTGTTGGGTCCTAGCCTTAATATATCATATTGGGTCCTAGGACTTAAATGAACTTTACGTGAATTTCTCCCATTGATGTCTGGTTTAGACAACAATGATCTTCCCAAACCAAGTTTTCCTAATGAATATTACTTCCCGAGTTTGGCTCATGGAAGTCATACTTCTCTTCCTCCACCTCCTCCAATTATTCTCCCTAACCCACAAGTTCAAGGCCACTCAAGCCCTAATGGCAAGCAAGGTCTATGTGTGATCACATCTTAGAGATGAAGTCACATATTGACAAGCCGGGAGAGTTGGGTGTCAAAGTCTTGAGAAAGTTGGATGTTCAATCACTTTCTAAGTCACATAGTGAGTTCCTGTGGGACTACTATGAAACAGACTATGACATGAACCTTAATGATCATATCTATTTGCTTTGTGCTGCTGAATCAGCAATGATTTGGAACGATAGTAAAGCAAATTTGATTAGAAGATCAACTTCCAAAAAAATTTATGGGCAGTGACAATGGTGACACTGGAAATCCAGAAAAAGCATTCTCTTCCCAATGGAAAGGGATTGGCCATAGTCAACCCGGTTGACCAAATGGTAAAGAGAAAGTCTAAGTCTGAGATAGTCTCATTACCAAAGGGTCCATATGTTTATTTTTCCAAAGGAAGGGGCGTTGATTGCAAAGCTGCCAAATTTACCTAAGGATGTTAAAGTCAATAAGTTTGACTCTACATCAGGTAGAGCCCATTATCTAACTCTGTTAAGTTCTATTCTGAGATCCTCATTACATGATGTGACTGGGTCACATGTTGATGTTTTAAGAATCAAAGAATAGAGAGAAATCTTAAAGGAAGTATATGCTGATTCTGATCGCGAAGGTGGATTTCGATCGCATCAGAATTTTGAGCAGTTGCTTAAGAAGTTATGATATATTGCTAAGGAATAGATAACAACAATTTTCCATGTGGATTGTAAGGATAAGTTTTTCCGCAAAGTTTTAAAATAAAAGAAAATTGTTTAATTTTATTTATTTGAAGTATCCTTACAATGGCATTTGTGGAAAATTGTTGCTTATATGATTCCACTGACAGCAATATTGGAAAATGGATTTGATTCTTTCAT